CGATTTCTTCCACCGCAGTCTCAGGTGTAATACGACATGATGACCTTATTGAGCGGCTCAAACGAACGAACGTCAACAGGAATTCAATGTACACAAACTCAGACCGGAAAATCTTGAAGAAACTTGTCCCATTTATAACAGCTGCCAACAACACCAGTGTTCAAACTATAACCGAATTTTCTCCATCTTTTTTTTTTTCTTTTGTTCGGAAAGAACGTTTTGTGCACCCTAGAGGCGGACTTACTATGAAGGTCAGATTTTTTTTTGAGAATCAGTGAGTCTCAAACATAGCCTCACACACTGAGGAATATGTTGCATCATGCGTATAGTCTCCAATGTTGACAACACATACATTTCTTTTGTTTTGAGAGTAAAATTTGAGTGCCATGTCAGGACGCTCAAAACTGCGCGCTCTGACAGGCTGCTGTTTGAGCCCTTGCCAGACTCCACCGTTTGGCCTAAATATGGGTGCTAAAAACGTCCCTTCTGAAGGTTTAGCCCTAGTCAGAGGCACCGTTTAGCCTGAATATATAAACTACTCATACATAATATAGATATAGCAACGAAATAACTTCGCAACTGAGTAACAACTTTGCAGCACAGTGGCACCGACACAGCTCAAGCTGATGTTGCTGCTTTGCTGCAGGGATAAACGAGTTGCAACGTATGTGAGCTGTGGCAGGGAACGTAGACAGCAGTGGTGGTTGGCAGCGATGTGACCAGGCCACCAAAAAAGACGCTCCTTTAGAGAAGTCGCCAGTGGGAGCAACTGAAGACAGGCTCTCTAACGGGAGGAGCATGGTCCCCACCTTTGCCGGCTGCATCGGGACCATGCACTCCAAGAAAAGCCTGCGCATCTACTTGCCCGCCAAACACTCGAAGAGCCAATCTTCGCGATCTACGAAATCAGCTGAGCGAATGATGAGGTGGAACTTCTGTTTATACCTCAAAATTTAGTCTGCCCTGTGACATAACGCTTTGCATTGCGTAATGCCACAACGCATACTTCATTTTTAGGTCTAAACGGATTCCATTGTAATGGCCGTACACGAGTGCGATACTAGTACATTGAATCGAGCTAGCCAATCGAATTGGTCCACGTAAATGCATCGATTCGCTAGCCAGGCGCATCGAATCGGAACCGATCCGCTCGGTGGGAATGGATTGAGATCATGAAGCCGAATCCTACAATATAAATGCTAGCGTACCGAATTGAGTGCTTGCACGAGGTATCATGGGAATGTTGCGTTTCATTCCGAGAGTGGACACGGATTACCAACATGGTAGCAGCCACAACAGCAGCTGGCAAGAATGCCTACCTCGTTTTCTGCTAGGAAACAGACGATTCTTCGAATGATAGGATAAATGAATGTGCGTTCACCACACCGACAACGCAACCAGGTGCACTTCTAGCAGTTGTAGCGGGAGCTCGTGTTGTAAAGCCGGGGTCTCGCCGCTCATACGCTATATATCAAACTATCTGCAGATTTGAATTCGAGTCACCACTACAGTCTTACTGCTATGCCGGATAGAAAGCAATGCAAGCAGTAGCTTGGTACACAACATAGGAAGCTAGCACAGACGTCACGGTGGCATGAGCTGGAAGGGTGCTTGAAGCACGACCGGCTTTATAGGGGCGACCAGGTCACTCAAGGCAGCGCCAGCGCGCCGCATTTGCTTTTGCTTATTTAGTACTTCCTCCAGTTTGCTGAACCGCCATCGCGTTTTCTGTCGCTGTAGCTTAACACATTAGCAGGCGCTTTCACCTACTACCTGTGTGTGTCCGCTCCCCGACCGGTGACGTTTTGAAGATAATCGGCTGTATCTTAAGGACTTTTCTCATTGCTATTGCGAGTGTACGTTCGGTCAAGAGCTACAAGCTGATCTAGTTCGCATTCTTCCCTCGTCAAAAGATAACAAACTTCCCCTAAACTTAAACCAAATGCGCTACCATGAACATCACTGCCTCGCGCCAAACTTCGACCCCTCCAACACTTTTCCTGAACCGAGTGGAGATCCCAAGAACAACGGATATCCACCTCGTAGGTGTCATCATCGACCAGCATTTCGATTTCCACCGCTATCTCCAAAACGTCGTGTCCGGGGAAAGGAGACTCCTTAGCTTCGTCACTCGGTCCACAAGAAGAGCCAGTCCCGATGTGCCCAGATTGCTGTTAACAGCGCTGGTGTCGCCCATCCTGGAGTTTTGCTGCTTGGTGTGGGACTCGGTAACCATGAAACTTGTTGCCTCCCTCGAGTCGGTGCAACGTCGCGCTTCCTACTTTATTATTAGGCGCCAACTTGGCCCCCGAACACCATCCTATCAAGCACTGCACCTCCTCCGCTCAGTACGCAGTACCCGCTTCAACATCGACGTCAATTAGCGACCACGCGGCCCCAAGCCACTTTTCTGCTACCGGACTCCTCACTTAATTCCTTTTGCCTCCTCCCTGCGGCGTACTCGCACTGGTGAACTGCAGCCCCTTTAACCCGTACCCTTCGTCACTATGTACGGCACGGGGTGCGAAGACCCCCCCCCCCCCCCCCCCCCCAACGCCAGCCACCAGTTCCCCAGCAATCGACAGTGTCTCACTTCGAACATTCACCAAGAGCGTCACGGCCCACCGTCACGGCCCACCTGCGGGGCATTTATCTCGATTTTTTTATACCGATCACTGGAGTGGGCCCCAGCAGGCGGACTGGATGCACCATCCTGTACACTCGTGCACCCTCTTTATGCTTAGCTCACAATAACTATTCCGTTCGGAAATCTATAATATAGTGACTAATTATAACCTATTCTATGCACATTATGTGTTAGCATTAGAGCCTGCCTATTAAATGCGTCAAAAATCACCTGAAACCAACGTCATTTTCACACGCTCTTATTGCCTTCAATAGCGGCCGCCGCGCTTTTTGTGTTGAGCTAGGGTGGCGCCTAGCGGAAAACTCGGTCCCTCTGAGCCGTTCACGTGATATTTCTTGGCCCACGCGCTCCCATAGGGAAGCGCGGAGTGACCTGATCGCCCTTAATAAAGCCGGTCGCGGTTTGAAGACTGCTTATACATCACAAACAAATTCCGCATGATGAACGGTTTTCTTTGCAACATTTAGCGAAGGAAAGCCAAGTTGCTGAAATCAAAGACACCAAGCACGGCAGCCGCTACTAGCACTCTACGCCATTTTGGCTGCTCCAAAAAGCCTAGAGCTTCGAAACCACGCTACTTCAGGCCTGTCTTTTCTTCCCCACATCCTCTTACCGGAAGTCCACTAAAAGCACCGCCGCCTCGGCGTGACGTAGGAGACGTCAGTTGGCATATAAATTATAACAACACTCCATACACAAAAAACCTTCACAGAACACCGTTTCCTTCCAGAGTGTAGTGTCAAACACGTTCGTGGATTGGTGTTCCTCCTCCGACTTTTGTTGTTTTGGTGTCCACCGATGTAAGCGATAGACCCTCGCGTAATTCCCTTCCTAGAAATTCACCGCGGATGCATCCACCAGTCATTTTGGCTACCGACAAGCAATGTGCTCCCGTGTCGGCTCGTTTGAACTCCAAAAAATAGCCAATATGTTTAGAAAACCAGTTTTATTTTGTTTCCACCTACTCCCCAAGGTGCATTTGATCATAGGAAGTTCTTGTGAATACCAGACCAAGTGCTGAAGCACTTATATGATAAACTTGTCTGTCTCGTGGTGTGTCTGCTTTACCGGGCTCTGCAAGGGGAGTCATGAGAAAGGTGAAGCACGCATAGCCCATGTCTCCAAGAAGCATCTTGGGCACCCGGTGCTCCTCGTACCTCACCCAAAGCCTCGAGTTATCAAAGACGCTGCTGTCGGGGACAGATCCGGGCCAGCTTGCCACAACATAAAAACTGAGTATGTAGACCAGCGACAGCCAGCAAGAATATTGAATAATACATGAAATCTGGTGGCGTCTTAATGATTATCATTTTGAAAATTATTGACAAATATATTCGGTACGAAATAAATGCGTGCCGACTGCTGAATGCCGAAATCTTTATTGATTTAATGGTCTAGTTTCAGCATGGGCAGTGGCAGACCCCTGTTGTCGCCGCTTGCTTGAAATGGAAGTATAACGAGCAGCTCCCTCACGGTTGGTACCTCGCGAGGAACTGCCCGTCGTTGTACCGTTCCATCGGGTATTGGCGATCTCGAACTTACGACCGCGTAGACCTTTGCAAGATTAGGTCAGAGGCGCGGCAGGCAAACTTGAACGCCAAGATTCTCCGAGCGACATTGTAACCCGACATCTTGGAAAACTCGTCCAAGTCAGGTTTTAGTCATGTTCAAGACAGGTACACGGCTGTCTTAAAACGTTTTAGATTTGGATCAAGTCAAGATCGCTTCAAGTTCGCGTTTTAAGTCAAGGAGGATTGGTGAAACGCGATGGCGTCTTTTCAAGGCAGCTTCAACTCAAGTTCCAGGCAAGATCGAGTCAAGTACCGAGTAAAGTTGCATCTATGAATTCGGGGGTTAGATGATTATACGAATCAAAGTTGTCATACTGTATTTTAAGAAGGATACATTCTTTGTTCAAATTCTGTTTAATGGGTGGTCAATCACCGAACTTAAATACATTCTTGAGTGTCTTGCGCAAGTTGTCTTTTTTTTGTGTTGTCAACTCCCTTGCTGATGCCACACCGTCTGGTCAGCATGCCTTCGTTTTGTCAGATGTCTAATACGGCGCGTTGGCATATCTCAAACAATTACTGCTGGTGTGCGATCGGCATTTCTTTCTTTTGCAAAGACACCTCCCGTGGTGTGTACGCTGCTTTAACTTCAATAACACCTTAGAGAAGAGCTAAGTTGGGAGACTTGCCAGTGTAGCGCGAAGTCCTTGCGTCTACCAGAGCCGATTGGATTATAGCGATTCACATTAGTCAATCGCTATAAAACTATAATCCAATGTGACGACTAAATGGCTCTTCCTGATTACGCAGTTGATGCTGGCATCGGTCGGCTGCCTTCCAACATGTGGCCAGCACCCGTCGCCTCAAGTGCAGCGTCAAGATGCTGACTCACCCTGCATCAACGATAACTACTCAACGGGACCACGTGGCTTCGTGACGTCTACACCGTTCCCGACAGCAGCGACATCACCTACAAAAGCCGCGTCCCAACTGGATTTTGCCAGTGGGCATGGTAGCGCATCTCGGAGCATGACGACTAAATGGCTCTTCCTGATTACGCAGGTTAGTAAAAATAAGTCAATTTATTACGAGTTTAAGAGCAATTATGTTTGTCTTATTGTGCTGCCATGCCCCGGCACTGTTCTTCGCATCCTTGTAGAATGTGTTCGCACGGTAAAGTTGTTGATATTACTGGCCGGTGACGTGGAAACTAACCCCGGCCCTGATAAAGCTAGTAAAGCTGATACGCAGGATCCCATTCAGCAGATTTTAAAAAGCCAGAAGGACATTGCCAAGGACATCAAAGAAATGCGAAAGGAACAACAAAGCGTTAAGGAAATGTTTGTAGGTGTGAATAAGCGAATATGTGCTATTGAGGCCACCATTGAGGAGGTCAATGGCACGGCAAAGTCCTTCCAGGCTTACGAGGCTAATGTTGCTGAGCTAAATCACACTGTTTCCGATTTAAGAGTGACTGTTTCTCAAATGGGAAAGAAGCTTGATGACTATGAAAATCGTAGTCGACGGAACAATGTTATTGTTTTCGGTATACCTGAAGATCGTCAAGAAAACCCTGTCCAACTCAAGCAGAAAGTTTGCAGTGATGTTTTTGTTGGTAAATTGGATGTACATGTCACCACCATTGAAAGGATCCACCGGCTTGGTTATAACAAAGGAAATCGCCCGAGGCCTGTGATTTTGAATGTTCGTGACTTTAACGAAAAGGTCAATTTATTTAAAAACGCTTACAAACTAAAAGGTTCCGAAATTTCTATCTCCGACGACTACTCAAAACAAGTACGATTACTTCGAAAAAAATTGTGGGATAGTGCAGACGCTAACAGGAGGCAAGGTGACAGGGTAAAACTCGTCTACAACAAATTGATAATCAACAACTTGTCTTACACGTGGGACACGGAAAATGACACGAGAATTTGTATTTCCACACCAGAACGTTCCATGGCGTCTGTTGAAGGTGCCTTTTCACCGTGACACGTCGTACCTTGTTCGAAATCTTTGAAATTAATAAACGTCAATGCCAGAAGTGTTGCTAATAAAATCGTTGACCTTGAGTGTTTGTTGTATGATCACGATCCTGACATTGTTGCCGTAACAGAAACGTGGCTGCATAGTTCTATTCATGATTCAGAGATTATTCCCCCATCGTATAACATTGTTCGGAACGATCGCGAATCACGTGGTGGTGGCGTTGCCGTTATCCTGAAAAATCATTTGGATTTTGTTGTAATCAATGACGCTCCTGATATCGAGTGTTTATGGCTAAAGCTTACCGGGTTTACTCCGCCAATCGTCGTCGGCGTAGTCTATCGTCCGCCAAATGCTTGCTCATCCGTTCTTGATCTTCTTGCTGATTTTGTTTTTAAGATTAAACAAAAATACCCGGTTCTTGTTATGGCTGGTGACTTTAACTTACCCTTAATTAATTGGGATTCTATGTGTAGTGGCAGTGATTGCCCTAATTCATCCTTGCTAGTTGACCTGGTTTATAATAACAATCCACTTCAAATTGTTAGTAGTCCAACACGAATCACCTCGTCTTCTCAATCTACACTAGACCTCGTGTTCCTATCGGAACCACTTGCAGCACGTACGTACGACTGCCAAGTGGTGGATGGGATCTCTGATCATCAAATGGTACTCGTTGAGTTTTCAACTTCAACACTTCGTCCTTCATTACGTAAAAAGATTTCTAGGCGTGTGTTTAATTTTTCTAAAGCAGAAGACGAGTCAGTACTTGACGTGCTTGAGGTGTCGTTTGATTCTTTTTCAAACATGTGTTCTGATGGTTCTTCTATTGATACCCTTTGGAATTATTTTAAAGAAACCGTGCTTGAATGTTTACGAAGGTTTGTTCCAACGAGTATCAAAGTTACCAGAAAACATAATCCATGGATCACTCGCGATATCCTACACCTAAAACGAAAAATTAATCGTGCCAGGAAGGGCAAAAGACGTTTAAATATCAATGAAATGCGTACAAGACTGAAAGCTATGATTCGTCTTGCAAAACATAAGTATAACAATATAACTTTGCACACGTTCCTTAGGGAATCACCCGATAAGTTTTGGAGGTCTTTGTCCCCGGTTCGAAAAGACATTTCCAAACTTATGGTTTCGGACAGATTATCAACGGATGACTGTGCCATCGCTGACGGTTTCAATGATTATTTTTCATCTGTTTTCACCTCAGATAACGGCATTATTCCTTGTTTAAACCTGTCACCCAACCTATCAGTGTTACCCGATGTTTTTATCTCTCCCGATGGACTGTTTTCAGCGTTGCTTAATCTTTCGACAAAAAAAGCTGCTGGTCACGACGGCATTCCAAATATGTTCCTCGTTCGCTACGCAGAATGGTGCTCAAAGTATCTTTATCTAATATTTAAAAAATCATTGTCGGAGTCCGTCATTCCTGTAGAATGGAAGATTGCCAAGATCGTTCCCGTTCACAAATCTGGATCTCATCTCTTGCCTGGGAACTTCCGGCCGATTTCTCTGCTTCCTTACTGCTCTAAACTCTTAGAGCACGTTGTTTTTAAACATTTCCCTATTGGAAAAACGTACAAGAAACAAACCTGCTGCTTGTACAGTCCTGGTATGACACCACCATAATTTATTGTTATTATACATGCAGCTAATTTGGTTTTGCGTTCTCCATAACTGGAGATACCGGCACCGCTATGGCTCCGGGTCTGTCTATACTGGCAGCCGGTTTGCTCGCCGATATGACTCGGTATGGCTGGTATGATTGTGCGTCCGATGACGTAGACGACCGCCATCTTTCCAACGAAACGCCTATACCACAAGACCACCGGTATAACTAAACCATACATGCAAAAAGACGACCGCCATCTTCCAACAAAAACGTCCATCGTTTACCACCGGTATCGTTACATACATCATACATGTCGAAAAATAACATAAGCCGCGTTTACATGAATGCGACTTAGTCGCATTGAATCCAGTTGCCGCATTCAATATGCGGTCATGTAAACGGCATAATGCGCAAAGCGCATCGCATTAAAGTCGCTAGACAGAGGTGGATTGAGATGGCGAGTGCGCATTCATTCAGCCCATGTAAACGAAGATCGCATCGCATTTTGGAACGGGGAGGATTATCGGAAGGCGCTCGCTGCGGGAGCGAGTGAACAGCTGAGAACATGGTGGCGGCCAACCTCGTCGGCGGCGCGGAGAGCGGTCCCGCAATTTTTTTCCCGAGAACAAACGCAAGCTTTTATTGCGATCATAAGTAAGCGGAATTTAGCGGAGCTGCTCGGTGAGGGCGGCCCCGTCCAAACCTTTGCGAAGTACGACTTGCGCGTCCGAAGGGGTCACAAAGGCTTCGGTGCAAGCACGCATGACACCGAGAGCTCCGATCACTGTAGAGCACTGCATGGTTGCGCAGAACGAGCAGCTCCTACCTCGCTGCCGTTCCTGGCTGCGCAAGAGCCTCTCGGACTCGGGGTCTGGTCGCGATTGGCGAGGTCTGGCGCGGCGAAACGTGGAGGCTTCCTCAAAGCGTGCACACACACGTCGCCTCTCGTTCAGAGTGGACCGGCGGCCCGGACTGGAGTCCTAAACGCCTTGGTTTTGATGCTTCTTCCGTCTCCCAACTTCTTCCACAGCACCGAAGACAGCGGGCGCGATCTTTACGTTCACTGAATGCGTCGAAAGGCCTCCACGTGCGATGCACCGGAAAACGTGATGCGGCTGGTGCCGGAACGGAACTGACGGAACTGCATAACTTCGAGCTTTGAGTCAACGTGCACGGCTACAAACCGATCGTGACACTAAGCCGCGGATACCGCATCGCCGGTCGACAGGGGCAAATGGCCCGTTGCTCGTATCGTGGGCCGTGACTCGTACTCGGCCAACTCGGCGTCTTTTCGTGGCCCCTCGCGTCGTCGCAACCAGCCGCAAACATACCAGCCCGCGACCGTGGCCGATGTCGGAGAAAAGCGAAACCGAAACGTAAAGCTTCCGCCCAGTGGCTTCCGCTGCCGCGCCTTTTCTAACTTCCCGGCCAGTCCCGGTTTACACGCAGCCAGACGTAGCGGTTTTGGCGCTGGCTCCTTCTGCGTTTTACGGGACAGATGTTTTACGGTCCGTTTCTACTGCGTCTCTGGCTCTCAACTCGACGACGCCTCTCATGGTTCAACCAGGCGTGGTCAGCCGGGGTCAGCACAGCGCGGCCGGCTCAACTCGTCCGATCGCCGGACCGCAGGCGACTTCCGATTTCGGCCGTTAGGCCCAGGATCCGAAGGACTCTGTTTCCGTGAAGCGGTAAGCGAATCTCGTCCCGTTTTCGTTCTACTTTTAAATTACGTTAGGTGCGCTACAGTGTAAGCATGCGTGCCAAGTGTTCGTGACAATTTTGAACTAGAATAATTGTGCTTCATTGCGGTTTGTCATTTACGAAAAAGTAAATCGAGCAATGAACGAGGAGCCATGCTTGAAAACGATGTATGTACGATGCTAACTTCTACCTGGGCGGCTTAAAAAAAAGTCAAGACTGGTTACGGTTGGATGCGAGGCTGGTCCCAATGCAATGGTAACCACTTAGAGCACCTTTCTGAACAGCATGTAAGCAATATAGCGATCAACGAGACGAGCGACGACGAGAAGCTCATGTGCCGGCGCCGAGCGACGAAGATTTCTCACTCTCGCTGCTTGCGCCGCTCGGTTCCTGGGCTTCTAGAAAACGTCGCTCATCACCTTGATCGCTCGCACCAATCGCTTTCATAATGTGTGTCTCGTCGCGCAGCTGACTACCGTGTTTATTCAAATATATGTCGACCTTTTTTTTTTCTTTTCTTTTATTTTTTTTTTTTTTTTTTCGGAAATCGTGACTAAAGAATTTCGACCTACATTCGCGACCAAATTTTGCGACTGTACCGGAGGCATGAAGTTATCGAGTCACCGAGCCGGCGTTGCCGTAGAGCTGCGCCGCTTCTTGTTTCCAAAAGCTTTTGTTAAACACCCGAAAACAACAGCGGTGGCCGATGCCGCTATCGCGCGCACCTCTTGGGGCATTGGATTTCGCCATCGCACCTCTAGCGTTCCCCTTGCTGGGCAATGGGGAAGGAGAGGAACGCGATGCGCCATGCACTTTGTCCTCCATCCTCGCAAACGCGCACAAAAAAAATAACAAAAAAAAATATGTTACTTTTGTTAGTTGCTTGAGGCGGCTCGGCTCGCGTGTTGCTCATGGCGACACGGCGGCTTTGTTTGCGTCTTTGTAGTTTGTCTTTCGTCGCTTTCGACGGTGTCAGTGAAGTATTGTGGCGGATTTGCGAGGATGTCTACCAAGCTGTGAAGTGATGTAAATAAAGGTTTCTTTCTTTTGCCCAAAATTTCCCCTGTTCTTAAAAATAAAAAAAAAAAGTCGACCTATATTTGAATTTTTTTTTTTTTTTATTCTCGGTGGGTCCAACAAATAGAGTTCGACCTATTTTCGAGTAAATACGGTAACTTTAATTTTTATTTTGGGTTACGTCGGACGTAACTCGAATGCTTGACAGTTACGTTGGGCGTAACTTTAATTTTTATTTCGGGTTCCGTCGGACGTAACGTTAGACACTGCGTTACACTTAAGAAAAATAGGGGCTGATGGTTCATCATATAAACCAACCATTTGTGTTTAATTAAAGGGAATCACTGGCCTAAAAAAAATACTGCTGTCCTATAGGAATGTAGCGCTTCAGATAAATTTGTTAATTTTTACTTTTAGTCTCTGCCCCACCAGATACAACATCTGGCCTAAAGCAGTGTTCCGGATCTCCTTCCAAGACCTCAGGCGGGTCGTCATTCAATCCAGGAGGCGGCGGCGTCTCATGGGCGTGTTGTTGGTGCTTCTTACTGGATGGTGCTACCGAGGGAAAAGTGGTCGTGCTTGGGAAAGGCAAGTATGGCCGCCATAAGTATAGATATTGTTTTTACCTTTGCTCGAACCCACCTTTAAGAAATGCACAGTTCGCATGTGTGCATCTCTCAATGCTTCTACAGTCGGCTGTTAATATTTGGAGTGCTCCAACTCTGTCAGCGCTAGTTTCTCTAGATTATGCAAATGGGATGCAACACTAAACCACATATGCTCTCGCAACAAACAGTGCTCTGCTGAAGCACGCACTGTGGAATCTACTCTGGCTTTATAATGCAGCACAAAATAGTTGACGCCAAGTATAGCTACTTTTGTGACTCCGTTTTACCAAAAGCTCTGCCGAAATAAACTTGCCACCTTATAGGTAGTGCAAAAGAACCTCGCGTGCCTAACCTGGAGAAGGGCATTTTTTTCATAGGTCAATTTTTTCTTAAACCAATACCTTCAGCCTCCTTGAAATGTTAACATCATGTGACACTCAGAAGAACAGTAAACCCCTTAATGTTGGCGAACCTTTAATTTTCGCGGCCTTTAATTTTGCGGAATTCAGTGACTGTGATTATGTCCTCTGTGACCGATTCGAGAAGAAATAGGGGCCACCAAGATAAGGGGGTTTTACTGTCCATCGGAGGAGAGAGGAAGTCACCTTTGTTTGTATGCAAGAGTAAAACCAACAACAACAATCATGGTGCCGACACTTTGTGAGCCTATCTGTGTCTATTGAATGATATCAATTTTGTTTTTGTTCGTTAAAAATTGTTGCCTGTCCACTGTGGGATGTCGTCTTCAACACGAGCAGTGGTTTTCCTCTGAAGCAGGCAGCATGGACGCGTGCCGCAGCACAACATAGTTTATTTGCAGGTGGTACCGCAGTTTGAAGGATGGTTCTCACAATATGGGGGAATCGCAATTCAATGTTCTACCTCGGGCGTAGACAAGATTTGCTCATTCTAAATCATTTTGTCTACAAATCTACAAATCGGGAACTTGCAACGAATGTACCCGCATGGTTGGAAGGGCCAGACAAGCCTTGCGAGCGCTTCGTTTTCTAGCCTCTCAGTCCTGAACCTACTCACGCACCACATGTGTAGATGTTCCGGTACGTGGGAGCACTTATTTGGAAAATGGTGAATGGCAACTGTTGTTATCTTTAAGGTGGACTGCATATTTGCAGTACTTTTCCTCACTTAAAAATATGTCTTACTAAAAATATGTAGTATAGCCGATGACAAAAAGAGAATGACTGGGCGTCCTCCAGCACATGCTTGTGCTTTTCACCCCGCTTTAGACAGATGTGCTCGCTCCAGGCTCATCAGGCGCTGAAACGTCATCGAAGGTAGCAGACGGGCTGGAGGTCGAACAACGGAGACTTCTCCCTGCCTTCCTGATGGTGTCAGTGAGCATGTACTTCTATACTCTAACTTAGCTTAACCTGCACAGAGCTGAGTAGAATAGGCTTGGCAAGTGCCCTTATTGCATATGCATTTGTACAGCTGAGGCACTTTCTAAATCAAGAACATTGTGTACCTTACCTTCAAAAACACATCATTTTGGGGGTGCAAAAGGAATTCTATGGCATATTTTTGTTTGTATTGTCCTATTACGCATCGACTCCTTCAACTTAATGCGGAGTCGACCCAGCCTCTTGAAAAATTTAATGCTTGCCAGGTAATTGTTTTGCATTTAGTTGATATATCAGTATTCAGTTAGGTATCCCAAGTCATTAGTCGTTGAGGTGGAGTCTCTCTGTAAGTCAGTCATGTTTAACAGTCATAGAAATGCTTGTCAAATAATGGCACTGTCGAGGACATGTATTCAGCTCGAACAATCGCTGGGCACAAGCTGGTCGTGTGGTTACAGGCAGCAAACATCCCGGTTGGAACGTCCTATTTCGCAATGTAGCTGCAGACTAAATGAGGGCCCCACTCATAAACGTCTATACTTTTAGTCTCTTTAAGCTGGACCACTTTTGAAACTACAAGCCTTTGCAGCAAAAATAGCATGACGCATGATTATAAGCTCGACGTACCATGGCGTCCAACTAGAAGGTCACATGGCTTGCTTTGTGCACTGAATTTGCAAGGATGGCTTGAAGCTTCTGTCGTGGTTAACTTTAAGCTGAGATAGTTTAAAATAATGCTCTCAGTTTTTAGTGTTGCCCGGCATGGTTAACAAGTTGGTGATATAGCGCTGCATTGAAAAGTCTGTGCATTCATGACTGTATCACCTTATGAATGCAAGCTACCTATTAAACTCTTCGTTTTTCAGAGAAATGAAATGCACTTTGCTTCCAATTGCACCCGCTTCTGTAACTTCATGGTATGAAGCACCTTATGGCTGCAAGCTCTGACCGATCTTGTTCTGTGGTCTGCGCAGGCCCATATGAGGGAGTCACTCCGAGAGCCTCACCAGAGTTTCCTGCCCGTGGTCGTTCTAAATGTTTTTGTTGTAGGTATGCATCCTTTCTGTCTTTCCCTTAATTCTAATTGTACTCAAACGTCTTCTTTTCATTGTCGCCGATTTGCCTCAAAATTGGTTAAGCACACAAATGCACGCTGTACAACTGTATTGTACATATTTTTTCCAAGGTAACTTTTCTTTGCCAAAGTTAGATTTTTTTATGAAGGTTAGTCTTTTTTGTTTTTATTTTCAAATTTATGTGAGTTTCCATGGGCAACACTAAAACGTTATGCCAGAAGCAAGGACAAGTTCACTGCTCTAATTTGTTCTCAACTGATTGCAAGAAATTTCGTTAATGTCGTGAAACCTCCTTCCAGCGCTTGCTTTGCAGCATAAAAAAAAATTATACATAGGACATACTGTTTCTTAAACTGCTTGCTCATTCTGCAGGTCTGCCTGCCATAGATGTCGTGCTACTGGAGAGCAGGCGAATTCGATTGCTGGTTTTGCCATTGCTTTTTTTTTTTTAGACATTGTCTTAGTAGTTCTTGTAAATTTGGAGATTTTCCTAAAAAGCAAGCCGGGAAGAATATTTAGTTTAGTTAGGAAGCTGAAAATAATGATTTAGTACCCCTTTGTCACTAAAATAGATACTGTGTGCTGCTGTTAGTGTCAAGCCGAGATCCACGCTTTTTTGGCATTTTGCTCAGAGTGGTACCCATTCTTATTCGTTAGCCTCTTGGTGTGCCAACTAAACTCTTTGTATACAGACACCTGCCCTCTGCTGGTACACTCTACCCTCATGTTCAGCGAGTGTATGAACTGGAGTTGGTATCCACAGTCGACACTCGCTGAGCACGAGGGTAGGAAAATCTTTCCATTGCAGCAGAGCCATATATGGGGAGAGTCTGGCAGTCTATGATTTTGCTGCCGTAACGTCTCCCTTCCGAGTGAGCTGATCAGCCCGCGGCACAGAGCAAGAGGCGTGAGCGCATGCGCGTGAACTCTAGGCTGCTCCCAGCTGAGCGGGGAGGGCCGCCATTTTCATTCATTCGCCTGGCATGGGATCGATATTCAAAAATTCGGTTCTTTCCTTTTATTTGGCAGGCTCTGGCAATAAAATGATATAGTGTTATTCCTCGGTGGCTTAAAAACCTAAAGAAAGAAGTTCCTCCATGTTTGAACGCACTTTTATTTAGGCAAAAAAAATAAATAAGCCCGTAGCAGACGACACGTAGCCTCAACAGTGCTCCGTGCAGACAGCTTTGCGTCAAAATGGTGGTCGTCTCCTCTTTGTTTCTCTGCTGCCTTCTCTCTCCCTCCTTCGGCGTTCTCCTCCCTTTCCTCCTCTCCGGCGCCTTCGTTGCCACACCCGCTGGCTAAACTCTCCCACTATACGGCTTTGCATTGCAGTAGTAGTTTTATTTGTAGTCTTTACAGTTGAATGTGAATATTTGACAGAAGTCTCAGGTTGGGGCGAAAGGGGGTTAAATGAATGCATTTGATCATTCACCTAAATTCGGTACCCATCATTTTAGCGCCTACGTAGCTTTGTCCTGGGGGGTGACTATGACTAAAATAAGAGGATCTATGTGCTGATCACGAAAGAATATGCTAGCCATTCTAATGTAGCTCTGCCAAGTACTTGATTGTGATTTGTTTTTATTTTCAGCTACTTGGGTGCCTCAAGATCTGGAGATCCTAGTGGCCACAAGCTTGGACTCAATCTTTTTCTGTGGTCTGGGCAGGACCATGGGGGAGGTAATCCCAGCAACAAGAGCATCGCAGTATCTCCCTGGCTGTGACTTTCGGTCTGCGTCACGACAGGGGAGTCCTCGTGCCACCAGGTGTTAGGTATGCCACTTGAAATAAGCATTTTTCTTACCTATTAATAGAACAGCAAAAGCACTACTAAGCCTAAAATGAAAAAAAAACATATTCAAATCTTGGGTTGGATGAAATTCCAATTACAAAAAGGAGTCTGCAGACATGATTAACATGTGAACTTAAAGCCCGCGGATGTAGGTTCGACGGTGTCACAGAAATAACTTCCCGCAGATCTCCTTGCTCGTGCTATACCCAAACAAATTCTTAAAATAATCATTGTGTTTCGTTGGTGTCATCAATCTTATGTCCCTACCACACTCACCAGTCGGGACATGTGAAATATAAAAAAAACAGGAACTTGCACATTGTCAGCTCTGCAAAGATTTATATAGTAAACAGAGCATACCACGTTCAGCTTAACAAAAAAATTCAGTGCAGGCCTATATTCATGGTTCACATATGTGTAATTGCTCTTTATAATGAAGTGAAAACTGCTTAAGTTGTGGCCCACTACAGGCTTTCTATTAGTGTTAAAAAGTGCGGTAGAAAATATGATTGCGCTCGGAAGACGGGGACATAGGAAGGACAGACACAACAGAGCGCTAAGTTTCAACTGATTTAATTCAAGAACCTCAGCGTAGAAACGGACTGTGTCACCGCACCACATCTCAACCAATCCGTGGCCCTGCCACGGACCGCAAGTACGCCAAATCCTTATCCGCCAAGTCAATTGACGCCACACTGACACAACTTGTGCCGGAACTGTTTATAGTGTCAGCCTCCATAATCTCGCTAACAGTCCTATCTTTGTGCCTCTCAAGAACAATAGACGAAACAAATAATGGTTTGCACCCGCAGTCATGACAGTGACACGACAGATCATGACTGCGAGTGCAAACCATTATTTGCTCAGTCTACTTTTCTTGCTAGGCACAAAGATATGACTGTTAGAGAGATTATGGAGGCTGATGCTATAAATAGTTCCGGCACGTGTTGTGTCAGTGTGGCGTCAATTGACTTGGCGGATAAGGAGTTGGCGTACTTGCGGTCCGTGGCAGGGCCACGGATTGGTTGAGATGTGGTGCGGTGACGCAGTGTGTTTCTACGCCGAGGTTCTTGAATTAAATCAGTTGAAAGTTAGCACTCTGTGGTGTCTGTCCTTCCTATGTCCCCGTCTTCAAAGCACAATCATGTTTTCTAACGTACCGTACCAACTTGCCCAACAATCAGCACTTGCTAAAAAGTGCTATTGTGTTTTAAGCAGCTCGCACCAAATATTTTCTTGAAATACATAGGTTCATGGAAATTATTATGTAGATGTTGGCAGCCAGTCATGGTGAGGCCAATCTTTAATGCCAAGTGGTCCACTTATTCAGAGTTAATTGAGTTTGTAAATTTTTTTTAGGTCGCAAATTAAATTTTTATGGTACGCAATGGGCACAATCATCCGTAATGACTAGCTCTACCTAGGGGAACTTCATACGTTTACTACGGCAAGATGGTTTCGAAAAACAAAGTATTTAGTTTATTCAACTCCTGCACTAACCTTGTCTTTAGAAACTTTTTATATTCTTTGCGATGCTGAGATAAGATTCTGGAAATAGTTTTTCTAGAACTACTCTAGATATTTCCAGTTCATCATTTTTCTCGCAAAGCATTCGAGAGAGCCAAACCCTGTAATGTACGGAGGGAACTCACAGAATGATGCGACTGACAGTTTGGAACATTCGGCACTGTAACAGTAATAATGACATGTCACTTATGTAATGCTCATTATCGCAGATCAAACTGCTTTTTCCGTCTACACTCATTTTCAGTAGACTCATTCAGCGAACTCCCACCTGATACTGCAGCGCTGGGTTCTGCAAAGTAATTTGAATGAATATAGATGCAACAGGTTTCTTTGAGCGTGCGTCTAACACATATTCTTCATATTGAATCTGCTAACTGTATTCATGTCCATGTCCATAATTCCACATTCCAGCTTATTTTTATTTTGACATTTGAGTTTTCTTCAGTACTTTTCTCAACATCTGTGCTTGCTGAGCCGTACTCAAGTTCATACATCTTGTCTTTCGCTATTACATTAATATATAAAACTGTTGATGCCGAGTGAGAATTCAAGGTACCGAATCTGTCGTGCGAGCTAAATAAGAACCAATAAAAAGCTCTACAAAGGAAATTTTGTTAAAGGATGCTGTATGGGCATTAGAATAGCACATGTCATGCTAAAAAAAAAAATACAAATTCTTGTTAGGTATGCGAGGATGACAGTGCTGTGCTGTTTCTGATGTGTCACAAAAAAAAAAAAAATCAGTGCCATACAGTGTTCCTTATGGAAGTACAAACTGTTGAATTCGAAGCCCAGAAGTTTTATTCAAGAATGTTCCTCAATACAAATGTATTTAGAGATCTGAGCCACTGACTCATACATGACTATGTGGCAAACATTAATTTTCATGTGGATTATAGTTTACAAGGTCTAGTCTGCATTGATTTATTGCATTCATGCTGAAACTGGGAGGGGTTCTCTGGGTATGAATAAAGAGATAAACATTTCTTGAAATCAAAACATTTGAGAACGGACAAAA